CTTCTGTCTTTTATATCTCAAGACATTGCCTCAGGACACAATCCAATCTTGTAGATTGAGTCCTGCCTTACTAACACAACTGCCTCCCATCCTCCCTCATTAACATCATAGAGGCAGGATTTACAACATATAGGAAAATCACACAATACCAGGAATCATGGCCCAGCCAAATTGACACAGACATTTTTTAGGGGACATAATTCAATCCATGACACCAGCTAACTGGGGTGTCCCGTGAAACTATGACCCTAAACCTCCAAACCAAGGAACCAAATCCTGTGACGTGTTTTCTTGTACACAAGCAGCCTCAGCAGCTTTTATTTTTTGTCATTGTTGTAAGTCTATCTATCACACAACTTTAGCCAATTCAGGTATTTACAGGTATACAACTTACTGAAAGCACTTAATAATCAGCTGTGCAATGTGATTTTTCTATCACCCTAAACCGAAACTCAGTACTCAGTAAGAAATAACCACCCCTCTCCTCTCCTCTGCCCCGGTAACCACTAACAAACTTTGGCCTCTATACATTTGCCTTTTCTTTTCTTCTTTTTTTAATGTGAGTGAAGTCATACAGTATTTGTCCTTTTGTGGTTGATTTCACTCAGCATAATGACTTCAAGCTCCACCCATATTGTAGCATGTATCAAGACTTCATTTCTCCTACTGGCTGAGATAGTGTGTTTTATTGTATGTATGTACCACATTTTATTTATCCATTCATCGGTTGAAGGGCATTTAGGTTGTTTCCACCTTCTGGCTGTTGTGAATAGTGCTACAGTGCTATAATGAACATTGGTATACAAGTCTCTATTTGAGTCTCTGCTTTCAAGTCTTTTGCGTATATGCCTAGGAGTGGAATTGCTGGGTCATATATTTTTATTTTTTAATGGGGTGTACTTGAATTTGTTGAGTCCCTGGTTGGTGCAAACAGTTAACACACTTGGCAACTAACTGAAAAGTTGAAGGCTGGAGTCCACCCAGAGGTACCTTGGAAGAAATCAGCCACTGAAAACCCCACGGAGTATAGTTCTACTCTGACACACATGGGGTCGCCGAGTCAGAATCTACTCGACCCCAACTGATTAACATAGCTGTAGTCTTCAGATAAACGTAAAGATCCAGCTTTGAGTTCTGAATTCACAGTATATTCCATGTGATAAAGGCTTAGTTCAAAGTCACATACAAGAAACCTATCAACCTGGTGTGCCCACAAAACATCAGGTTTGGTACCATTCATGTTTACTGATGAACTCGAAAAGTCCAGTTTCATTCACTGAAAATCTTAACAAATGCTCAATTCCCATCAAAGTAAAGGAAAGCCATGTTGATTCTGTGTTCATCAGAACATCATTTAACAGCACTGAAGTGGCAGCAGGGCTGGCCACGGGAGCCTGGGTGCAGGCAAGATGGTGGCTGTGGTGGCACCACCAGTGACCTGGGCCACCTGGCCTGGGTCCACAACCCCTCATTGCACCTCAGGGACCCACAGACCATGCTTCCTTATTCATTCTTAATGGTTTTTTTTGGTTTCCTAAATTGCTTATTCATATCCACTGCCCATTTTTCTGTTGGGGTTACTATATTTTTCTTGATCTGCAAGTGTCTTGTACATTCTAGATATCAGTTGTCAGTTTTAGACATTTCAGTTGCCTTCTTCCATTATGTCTATTAACTTTGTCCTTGATGTTGAACATAAATTCTTAATTGTGACTGATCATTTCATCAAACAAAACTTACTGTCACCTTTAGAAATTACCAGGTATATGGGTCTGAATCCAATCAAGAGAGAGAAACTATACAGTATTCTGAACAGGAAAACTTTACTTAAACAACTATTAACTATAACGAGAGATTGACTAGTAAGAAGTAAAGGGAACTTTAAATAATACCAAATTATCAAGTTTAAGGAGCAGCCACTACCTCTAGGGCTGAGAGAGCATCCAAGGAAGAGCCACCAGAGCTGAAGATGCAGACCTTGTTGGACAAGGTTTGGCTGTGGCTCACTGGATTGCAGAGGAGTCACTGTGGTCTCATGGTAGAACTTACCAAAGATCCACCCTCTATGGTGCTGGGAAAGGCCATTCACCATTCATGGGGAAGTGTTTCACCAGAGGCTCTCTGCTACAAAACCACCTGAGGGGATCAGAGGGAGTCTCTGACTGCTGGCTGCCATAAACTGCAGAAGCTGGGCACTGAAGAAGCCACGTGTGCTGCAGGAGCCAGGCATTTGAGGAGCTGCACAGCTGCAGAGGCCTGTTATGGTAGTGAGTAGACCCACTGCCTGGATTGTTCTTTACTCTTTACAATATACCACAATACTACTGGTTAAATCTGGTTTCTGTAGTGGAGTTTTTAGGCTGAAGTGATATTATTAAAATTGTATCCTTTTGAAAAATATTTATTAAGTATAAATAAATGTCCTATACATTAAATATCAAGAAATATTCATTATTGGTTACAAGTCAGGCTGTAATACTAAAGGAACCACAGAATCAAAATACCCACTCATGAAGTAGTGAGAATTCCATTCCAACATTGGACACAGTAATGACTTGCTCACAAGACACAACAAAACCCATCAAAAAAAGGCGATCATTTTAACCAACACACAACGCTACAATAGATAATGGTTTTGAATCATAATATAAACAGTCCCAATAATCTCGTTTTATCATTACATCCGGTCATTTTGAGGTTGTGGAGTTACATTTTCATAGAATTTAAAGATTCCCATTTCCTTCATTTTATTTCAAATTATTAATGAATAAAAACAAGTCTTACATAGCCATGATATTTTTAAGTTAGTCTTTCATAAGAGGAAAGGAATCAGAATTTAGTACAAAGAAAGCATCCCCCGGCAATGAGTCTCTTAACAGAAAAAAAAAAAAGAGCAATGTAATTAACTTTTCCTTCAAAGAAAGGAAAGAAACCTAAATCTGTTATGGTAAATTTGGAAAGATATTTCCCAGTTCCCAGAATACATGTTCATTTTACATGACGTACTTGAATGACGGAAGTCTACGAAGCAGGGATCTGTGGCAAACCAAATTCATCCACCAACACTCCATCCTGTGAAAGAGAAGCAGTGCTTAGTGTCACTATTTTTCAACTGATATAAAATGATTACAAACATTTAGTAGTAAAAAAAAATTTCCAAGTATTTATCAACCAAAACTAAAATCCCACTCAGAAGATGAAAGATTTTTTATGATAGGTAAAGGGGGAAGTGATGAACCAGGAAAAGAACTGAAAGGATCAAAAGGGTGATCCTTGGCAGAGTAAAGGAAGAGCGAAGCAGGTGAAAGAGGGAGAAAAAGAAACACGAGTAAACCTAGAAAGGGAGGCTGGGAGCGGTGGCATCACTAGGGCTGGTGTTACCCAGTGTGGTAACTCACGATGTCACCCCTCTCATGCTAATTACTACAATAGTATAGCTAAAACACCAAAAAATCTGACAAAATCAGAGACTATAAAAACACCAGCAGCAACAAGAGCAACAGCACATACTTGTACTGCATGCAGACAAAACCACGTGATTCGAAGCATCACTGTAACTGGGTAATAATGACGGCTCTGACTGGAGCATATTACAAGTTTCAAAAAGTAAATTAGAGTTTTGGCCTTGTAGGTATATTGGTTTTCTGCAGAAACACTCCACAAAAATTTTATAGACAGTCATTTCAGTGTCATTTCCTCTGACAGTGTTACCTAGTGCGTTCCACACCCTGCTAGTGACGCCACTGGCTGGGAGGGTCAAGGACGAAAGTCTGAGGAGTTAGTCCTTGCCTCCAGATTTGCATTTTCATTCTGATCCCTAAACTGAACCAATGCCTTTTGTAGCCTCTCAAATCCTTGAAGAAGCAATGCCTGCGGACAGGCGCTCACTTCTGTATCATCCTTTACTACAAAATCATAGACAGTGATAGTACTATCAATTAAGAAAACACATCTCAATGGTACATTTAACTCAAGAAGCTTGTGACCTTCTAAAAGTAGAAATAACATAGATGCTTCAGGGACTTGTTACTAGGGATTTGAAAAACTGGACTTGCTAGTGTTAACCAAAATTTTCAGATGTACTGAGAAAAACCAACTTAGACACTTGGAACCTTAAAATGGGCAGAGAAGTTGGGGTGGGAGGACAGAAGAGAAAGGTGAGACTATTCCAGGCTTAAGGAAGAAGGGAGGGTATAGTAAGGCAAGAACCCACACTCACAGAAATTAGCTGTAAGGTACTTGAGAAATTACCTGCTTCACACCTTTTGCCCCCACATTTGACAGATGGGAAAAACGAACGAGGTTCAGAGATAAAACATGAATTTCTAATTTGCTGAAAGTCATACAGTGAATAAAGGCAGAGCACGACTGGCTCCCATGCAAGGATTCTTTGGACTACACTGTGCACACTCAATGTGCATGTTGGGAGACAGGGCAAACACCAGGGTGATAAATGTCCCGTGGTAAAAGCAAACAAATAATACATTACACCAGGAACTAAGATGGAGTGAACAGGAGCTCATCAGCAATAAAATAATAATGACAACAGTGCAGATCTGGTCAGGGCTTTAAGTTTGCAAAACCCTTTCACATACAAGATCTAATTTGATCTATACAACAATTGTGTGAAATAATTATAATCATCTGCATTTTACAGAAAAGCTCAACGAAGCTAAGTGATATGCCCAACATCTCATAGCTAGTTACTGGCAGGTCTGAGACTTATACTCCGGTTCCTGATTCTATTACCTTGTTGAATCAGAATCTTTCTACATTAAGTTTTATACTTAAATTGTTAATTCCAAGTTTAAAAAAAAATCCACCCTATAGTTTAACTAGCGTGTCTGGGCAGTGCAACTTTCTTTTACACTGCCACCTGGTTCATGCATGTGCTGCTGACGCTTTCTTAGAAAATGGTTAAAATATATATATAAATATACATATATAAATGGTACTCAGTGCAAACTCACAAGGGTGATTTTGTATATTATACAAATCATCAGTGACACTACACCACGTGTTTGTAATCCAATACAGGAAAAACTGGGCTTTCAAAGGGTTCCCAAAAAAATGACTGAGACTGTCTTTCCTAACTCAAGGCTACCTTTTAGGTCCCCAGACTGGTGGTCAGACATAAAACCTTTATAACTTTGCAGAGGAAGTATATACAGAAAAAGCTCTCACCTTATTCTTTGTGTCAGTGGGCACACCTTCAGGAATTGCAGGTGCAGATGCTGCTTCATCCAAATATGAGCTGTCTTCATCAGCCAGAAGCTCATCACCCAGTGCATCCAGTTCTGAGATTGAAATAGTCAACATTTCAAAATAAACGTAAGCCAAGAAATTGGCAGCTCATGTTAAGAAAGTTAGACATATTATTTGTAGTAAGATGAAAATTTAAATACAAAAAGAAAGGAATTATTAATTTCTATTTTCAAAATAAAGATGAACATTACATGAAAATTTCAAAGGAACTAATATGGTAAAATCTTTGAAAAATAAAGATCAAGATAAACAAACCAACCAACCCCTACAGGTTTCTAAGGCCCTAGTCTTCATGAGAAGCATCTAGGGTTATTAGTTGGGCAATTCAAACTCAAACACTTTGACCCAAACAAACGTAAGAAATTCTCTCTCGATTTTGATGAACTTGACAGAGGGAAGTGAAAGTATGCATGAGATCGTTGTATACCGAGTGGCCACTGCCACTCGAATCTAAAAATAAGTTTATGTTTAAGTGAGTGGGAAGTGGCCAGGAGGAATGACAATAGCAGGTAGAGACTCATCAGGGGAAACTAAAAAAGGGAAATAAAAAAATAAAGAAAGGAATGGGGGAAAAAATTCTAGGAGAGAGAAAAAAGCTGTAACATGACAGAAATCATGTGCCAGAAAATCCAGTGTTACTCATGCTACAAACTGACAGCCATCCTGACCCCTCCCTCTTCTTCTACATCCAATCATTAAGTCTTACCCATTCAACCTCCCAACAGTTCTTGAATCTGCCCACTTCTGTTTCTGCTACCACCACGCTAGTCTCAGCCACCATCACCTCCTACATAAAGACAGTAACTTCTAGACTCCTGTTCCTGAGGCCACTTAACCTCCTCCAATTTTCATCCTAACACCTACTCATCCTTCAGGCCTCAGGCTAAATGTACTTTCCCCAAGAAAACAGCCCATGCCTTCCCCTCATCCCCAACTATGTTAGACACCCCTGCTTTGTGCTCCCATGGTACCTCATACTTGTCCTCCCCAATACTTTTTGTGCTTGTAATTCATAATGTACTTGAAACAAGCAGTTTATATTTCTCACCCCTGCTAGAGGAAAAGCTTCATGAATGCAGGGATCATGTTTGTTTTCTTCAGTGCTGAATCTCCAGCACCTAGCACAATGGCTGGTATATAGTAGATGCACACTAAGTATTTGCCAATGATTGTTTCTTGATCTGCTTCTGTTGTGAGGGAGAAGACTCCAGGTAGGAAAATAGGGAAAACAAAATCAAAAGGAAACAGCAGGGAAAGGCAGTGTTGAAGGCAGTATAGATACAAAGCACTAGGGGCCTTGCCGAAACCTTCCGTCAGAGTTTGTCCATCCCACAGTTGCTGGTGGAGAATGCATACCTGATGTGGTTGCCTCACAATCTCTTTGCCCAAAGACTATACCACAAACTAACTCTCAGGGAACATTGATAGAAATTTTCATTAGCATTTGGGAAAAAGGCCCAGACAGTTGCAATTTTCAGGCTCTAAAGCTAGGTATATATTGCTTTTCCTGTAACATACCTGCTTCTAGGTCATCTTCATCTAACTCTGGGGTGCCATAACTACGACTCAGTGCTTCTTGGATTTCATTTGCGTCTTCCATCATATCCTCCAGCTGGTCTTGTAGATCCTATAGAAATACATGTAGCAGAGTTTTTATTGATTTCTTACCATTTACCTCTGACTACCCCCCCCCCTTACTTTCTCCTCAGAATCTTAGTAATGAGCAACTTTTAAAAAGATAAGGTATATTAAATGCCTGGCACATAACAGGGATCATTAATAGCCATACCTTATTAGGTTATTGTAAGGTTTTATTTTAATAATATATGTAAAACACTAAGCACTTAATACCATACATATTAGTTGTTCTTGTTATTATTACTTCTATTGTACTAAGAATGTCCAGGACAACAATATGCTCTTACTATACTGAAATCCCACACAGAGGGGGACAGACTAGTGTTGCTAACACAGAAAGTCCAAATCAGCACCTTTGTCCTTTGGAATTTCTAGAGTAACATAAAAGATCTGAAAGCTTGTTCTTGGCCCCCAGATCACAGTACTATACTTATTTTTCAATACAAAAGGGAAAACGGTAGAAAGATGAACAAAAACAGTTTTTTAAAAGAAAAAGCTTTGCTCTTCTGCATTTCCAAGTGTGAATCTACCACAATGTGCACATATAACATTCTGCTATCCAGAGAAGCACTGGCTGAAATAATAATTAAAAGAGAGTGAAAATAGAATAGAGTAAGCTAATCAAGTCAAGCTTATACTATATTATTATATATCAAGACATAGCTTTCAAAATCACCCGTAAATAGGATTCTTAGCAACAGACTCTAAGACAGACACAGAAAAAAATCATACACACAAGGAGTTGGTTCAATATTGGATAAACAAACAAAAGCAATGAAAACAAATACAAGGACTAAACTAAAAACAACACTGATGTGCAGAAACTAAAAAATAGAATAGAAAACAGACACACACACATAAAAAGGCAAAATAAAAAATGAGAGCTGTAAAACAATGAAAATAGTTTACAAGTATTTTAGGAAAATAAATCTAACAAATGAAATTCAAGATACAGAGCCCAACCAAAAGATGAAACACAAGACAGTCACACATACACACCAAGAGTTGGAAAGGGGCTCTCCACCTGTCATGCTGGCAAAAACTATTAGGGGACAGAAAAGGATAATTAGGCAGGGAGACAGACAGCCAACCACAAGTGAACGATGGAGAAACATACAAAAAAAAGACAAAAGTTTCTATTTTACTCATATTAAATAGCTCTAATGAAAACACAGAGTACCGTAAGCAGAAAATAAAACTGCATTTCATTACATTTTATTACCAAATGGTATTGTACAAATAAGACAAGCATACACAGACATTATTCTCAGCGAATCTCCTGGAAGATATTACTGAACTTAACTCCACGTAAGCAGAGACTGGTGGAGGATTAGGAAAATGGCCAAGGGCAGTCTAAGGAGGGGTACTCGAAAAAAGGCAGAGTGAAATGGCAAACGCCTTCTCTCCTACTGATGACCAGCACTGCCCGAGATACCTGGCAGAAAAATGCCCAGGCCATGGTAAGTGCTCACCCAACAAACACTGCTTGAATTGGGCGGTACTAATCGATCTCCTTTAATAGCCTCTGGTTCATTCATTCACCAACAAATCCTCTCTGAGACAGTTCTAGGCACTGGCAATACAACAATGAACAACACTGAGTACCTGCCTTCATGGAAAGAGACATTCTAGTCAGGGGGATGGAGGTAAAGAGCACTATCATATATGCAGAAAGGAAGCCTCTTTCCACTGGCCTGGCACCGCTCACTTCCTCTGCTATCATTGTCATCTGGTTGCTCATCACACAGAGATGAAAGCAGTCAAGCTCTTAGGGTTGACCGCCCCAACCAAAATCTGATCCCAACAAGAAATGCTAACATTAAAGATCCAGTGACACTATTATTAAAAATAACCGACTCTACGCCAGAAACTATGTTAAGCACTTTATGTACATACCTCCATTTAACAACTCACGACGGTAATGGGAGATAAGCAGTAACGTCACTATTTCATAATTGAGGAAACAGACTAAAAACGATATAAGTGAGTTAAAAGTAACGGCAAACATTTATTAGGTGCTTATTATGTGCTAGGCTTTGTGCACTTAGACACATTAGCTCATTTATTCCATCCTCCTAATAACTGAATGTGGTGCTATGATCCTTGCTTATAAGGAAACTGAGACCTTTGGCACCCTTTCCCAAAGTTACTCTATTAGTATATGGCAGGCCGGAGAGTCAATCCTTTATCTGTGCTCTTCTCATCACGCACACATTCATTTGGATTCTTTCAGAAACTAGTATACATCTCACCTCAATCTGGTCGATTTTCACTTGCTTGTATGCTTTCTTCATTTCTTTTACTCCCAGTTTCATAGCATCAACCTAGAAAAAAGATAAATGAAAACAGTGTCTTAAAAAGCTATGTTGGGTATACCGTCTTCTAAAAACCATAGGAAAAGAGCACAAGAATAAAAAATTTTTTAAAAACTCATAGGAAAAGGTCCTTTGGGAGTACCGTGGTCTTGGTGTCCTTCAACGACTGGATGGTGTAATTGGCTTGTTCCATGTTAAATGACTGTTGGGAGAGATTGTCCCGCTGCTGCTCATACCTTTTTGGAGTCAATTGAGAATGATAAATGTGAGCCAGAGAGAAATCCTCAGGGAGAAAGTATCTCTAACACTAAATAAGCGAATTTTCTCTAAAGAAAAAAACTTAAAAAAAAGAAAAAAAATACCCAATGATATCATAATTATGGGGCAAATGCTAGACTCATACACTATTTAAACCACAAAACAAAAGCAAGCAGTCATATTCAGAAAAATTGGCAAAAATCCATAATTTAATCACCCTAACAGAAGTATGATTTTGTGTGTTCCCCTCCTGTCTTTTTCCTTTGCGTATGTTTTAGCTGCAACACTATTTTCCACTTAACATTACAGCATTTGCTTTTTACTATGTTGCAACATAGTCTTACTATAAATATAACTTTGTAATATTTAGATGATT